TTTCAAATACAAAGTATTCATATGCTTGAAGTAATATATTTTAATCATGAAGATTCTAGCCATACATATGATGATGTGCAGAGGTTTGGTGATGTCCAGCTTGACGCTGGACATCACCTTGATTGTATGCCCCTAAGACAGATCCACATTCACATTGTGGGATTTTTGGGGTGCTTGTACAATGAAAGTAACAGAGATAATTTCAAAAACAAAATTTTTATTTCACTCTTTGATTAGGATGTCCTGATATGAATACCCAGGATTGTCACACCATCTGCATGGAAGTTTTCTATGACAAATTCACACGACTTTAAATTTTAACAAATTACTCAAAAAGATTGAAACATATTATTCAATTTTATTTGAAAACCACATCTGCAGAATTTATTTTTTCATTTCCTTATCCTATTCATTGGAGACCAAATAAAAATTATTTAATTTTGTTCAATAAAACAATTTAATTTTACCTCTACAATTTCTTTTAAAACAAGTACAATCTGTTTTTTACACAAAATGAAAAACAAATCAAATGAATTCTACTTATTTTCAGACCAAAAGACAGTACAAAAGGAGATTAAAAATACTATTTAAAGAATTATCTTTTATTACAGTCAAATTACCATTCTTACAGAATCCCTATAATTATTTTATAGTAGACTATAAATATCTGTGAAATGTACCTATTTCTGTAATAAATTTTAATTATTGCACAGCTAATGAAATCAGTATTCAAAGGATAATGTGTCACTTTAGAAATTCTCCCCATTTGATACTAATATGATGTATATAAGCTTATCACATTTCATGTGTGCATAGAAACATTAGCATTTCTCATTTGAGAGGAAAAGTATTATGAATAATAGGCATAAGAAAACATTCTGGAAAATTTTATTTGCAAAAACTTGCACGAATTTTTATTCACAATATATTAAGTTAATTTAAATTCATATTGGATGTATAAAAAGTTTTCTGTATTGTTTAAAATTTAGGCATAAACAATGAAAATTAAAACTTTACTAATTTATGAAATAAATCTTGAGCCGTGTATATTTATTTTGTTCATATGATGATGAAGCATATTGGTGACAAGTAAAACTTTCATAAACTAGTAAGTACCATATCCTTTCATAAAATCACTGACTTAGAGAAAAAAATGTTTTTATGCAACATTTTGCCATATTAATCTGGTTAAAAAGTTAAAAGTATCTAGTCAATAATCTTTGTTACTTAAAGGCTAGCATTTACCCCAAGGAATAAAAATGAACACATACACATCACAGTAAACTACATAAATTACAACAAAAAAAAAACTTCAGAATTTTGTCAACATTGAAATTCAAAAACTTTAAAAAAAAAAAAAATAAAAAAAAAAATACTTTTTAAAAATAAAAATAAGTGAATAAAATTATCAATGGTAATAAGGATGAAATAGGAACAATTAAAAAATACTCTTCTCTGAAGACTTTTACACTGGTTATTTACATGGCAAAGACCAATAAACCCAACAATATATTAAAAATCATTATAGCCCAAATTCACATCCCAATATACTAATTCTCAAAAACTAAATATTTTCCCATATCTCACTAATACAAAATTAATTTAACCCGTGTATTTCTCCAAATTTTACACTCCACCAAATCTAATAATGGCATAGAGGATGCTGATGCACACCCAAGCAACCTATGTTGCATCTCCTCCTACCAGTGGGTGTTTTAGCCCTCAGCTTGTACCTGAGATCTCAGACTGGTACAATGATTCTGATCCAAGAAGTAATTTGATTGCCTTGATTACTGGGTAAACAAGACATGTACACTTGGGGCACCATGTCCTATATCTTCTCCCCTAAATTATTTCTCTCTTAAGGGTGCTGGAGGTAAATGTTTTCTGGGTTTTGAGGTTATCCACCTCATAGTGAGGGATCCAAACCTTTGAGTAACTTCGGAGGTTATCCCATCAGCAGGTATATAATATCAGGACTAACGGACTGCCATTTTGTGAATGGGTTCTGGACTGTGTTTCTGCAGTTTCTGGTGGAGCCTTTCGATGTCATGATGAAGGCTAATGTTATGGCTGTATCTCTGGATGATTCAATCCATGTTATAGAGATGCATCTCCTGTGGGTATGACTCACCATCTCATCTTCTACTAAACACACTATTATCTACACATGAATTCAACTAAACCTCACAAAAATATCAAACCCAATGTTACAAAAATAAAAGTAAACTCCAGGTTCACCATCTCCTACACCAATGTATGGGAGCCTACATTCCAACTTTCCAAGCAAAACCTGACCTCCTATTCCTGTTCAAAACTAGTACTGATCTGTATATGTTCTTCTGTGTGGCACTTATCCACAGTCCCACCTTCATTTTCACCTTGTTTCATCCTCAGGATGACGGAATTGTAATGTTCAACTGAATATCCGAGATGATTGATAATATCCTAAACAAATTCCCCTCACCTACTTTTCATATTTATTGTGATTTCAATATTCATCACAAAGAATGATTAGTTCACTTGAACAAAAGTGATGAAGAAGACAGATAGTGCAGAGACTTCTCCATTGCCTGCAATCTAATACAGCTCACTGAAGAACCTACCCACATTCCTGATGCAACAGGACATCAAGCAAACATTCTTGATCTCTTCTTCATATCCTGCTCTGAAAAATGTCCCACTAAAGTTTTACCCCCACTGTTGACACTGACTAGTGATGATTTGAAGATCATTCACTAGTCAGTGTCAAAATTGAGGCTAAACCAAAGGCATCCTCTGATAGATGTTTCTATAGAACAATTTTTCAGTACACAAAAGCAGACTGGAACAGCTTCAGACCTTATATATTGGAAGCTCAACCTTCTTCAAACATATTGCCTCCAAAACTGTTGCCCTCTTATCAAAATAGATCCTTACTGGAATGAAGTTTTACACCCCAGAAAAATTTCCAGCAGAGACCAAATAAATAGCCCAGGTTCACCCACTAATCATGCTGCAGCCATAGTTCATCATAACTATAATATCTATCTTTCACTGAGGGTCTGGTTGGTGTTGGTAGAATATTACTAGTTTGCTACTTGGGACATTGAATGTGACCAACCAGTTTTTCCTTCCATTGAGCTGCTAGAGTTAGGCCAGAAGAGAGATCAGCTGCCAATCTCTGGCCATCTTGGGTTTTGGAGGTGTACCCATATACTGTAGTATCACCAGCATACATATATAGATATTCACAAATGATTGGGGGACATCTACATTGATCACTTGGGACTGAGGACTGGCTGGTTACATTCAATGTCTCAAGAATCAAACTAATGATATTCCACCAACACCAAGATCCAATCACAATGAATGCCCCCCCCCCACCAGGGAGGCCCAGTGCCTTAAGGGCCTAATGTGACAAACTCAACCCAGACCTCAAGTGGGACTTGTACATTCCATTGCTAAAGATGCTGGAAAAAATGGTCAGTTCCCAATAAGTACCTGATTTCTTGTGCTATCCTCTACCTTTACAAGAGCAAGATCAAGCTGAAAATGGAGTACTACTGCTCAGATTTCTCTTTCCACTCAATAGTCCAAAACCATCTCCACATGGATGACAAATTATTTTTCAATCGACAACCCTTTTCTCACAGATCGCAAGCCTCTCAATACTCTATCGCGATTTCAATTAACTTGTTTTAAGCCCAGTTATGCCATACACATTGTAGTGAACAATCCAATAGAGTAGCTTCTCCACACAAATGACTGCCTTGTGGAACCAACTCTCAAGAAGATGTTTCCCCAATCACTACAATCTTAACCTGTTCATGTCTAAGGTAAACAGTTATCTTCCACACATAAAATGTGCATCATTAAATGTAGAAAACACTTAATAATGTTCCCATTAAGGAAACTATTGGGACAATATTACAATATGCTCATAAACACCCTTCAATACCTAAAATTAAACTCCTTTCGCTTCACCAACATATACAATAGCCACTTTCTTAAAATTTACAAAGACTAACAGTGTTGTGAAGCCATCTTCCATTTGTTTGATAGTGTCCAATTTTAGCCAGAGCATGTGCTAATTTTTGAGAACTGCTACCCAAACTTGGTCATAATAGTACATTGGGTTTGTGTTTTGGTAAGCCACAGAGTTTGGACATCTTTCCTAATAATTGTAAACATATATTGTCCTAATTTTTTTGTTATTTTTTTATTAATGAATTTCTTGAATATTTGTTTCTCCTTATTGATTATCACAAGCAATTCAAAAACAGTTAATTTTACATGAGAAACAGGAATCTAAACAAGACTGCTGCGGACACGGTAAAACATCACAACTATATTGCTTCATAGGCCAAGTCAGATACAAGAAGGACACAAATGCTGCTACTGATGTAACAGAGCTGGCCACATGTGACAAGATTTTGAAAATTGACACCAAACAAGATTTCATAAACAGTCTCTTCTCCAGGTGGGTTGTCAAGAAGTCACTACTTGTCATCAAAGTTTATGTCAACAATACAGTGTTTGGCCCTCTCTCTGATTAGATAAATTAGAGGAATTCAAAATGATGGTGATGATGCCAGAAGATTAGCAGAACAACAAAAGATTAAGAGCTTTGCAAGATCAGAAGGTTGGTGTTACCTGTTTAAGTAAGGGAAGTGGTTATCAATGCATACAAAAACATCCACTGTACAGAAAATGGAAACTGATTATGAAGGAAATATTTTTCCCCGAATATACTCTGCTGAAATGGTGGTATATGCCTGTATGCCATGCCATCAAATATAGAAAACAGTTCTAATTAAATTTGCAATTAATTTTATTTAAGGAAAAAAATTCATCTTTTTAGTAATCTAAATAAATAATCCTAATTATTTTTTTTCCTGGTATAAATAATTTACCACACAATGCTGTACATACAATACTTAATTTTTAAATTTTCAAAATTCATTAATTTACAGATTATTTTAAAAATTAAAGATTGAAAAACTTATAGAAATACTTACTGTTTCAATTCTTCTTTGAAAAGTTCAAGGTTACTCTTTTTTTTATCATCTTTCTTTTTCTTGGCAGAGTAATTCTGAAGAGAAAACATTTAATAATTGAACCTAATATTTTTCAAAGAATATACAAAAAAATTTTATTATATGCATTTATCTTCAGACCAGTATGTTCATCTTGGTTTTTATACTCATTTTTTGATTATTGTAACTCTTTCAAAATTTTGAACTGAACTTCTCATACAATTCATGGGGATGGATAAATAGTTCCCATTCTGATTTTTATATTGTATTATTTGTCCGTTTACTCCATTGAATCAGAATGTGTGATTTTTCAGCACTACCAGACCCTGGGATTGAATTCACAATTGCTAGAAAAACAGATAGGTTTGAACCAATGCTTTATTCCACAAGACCATATGTCTCTGGAACAATCCAGTGGTGTAATCTTTGAGCACACTTTCTTTCCAAATCAGAGGCTCCAAGATAGTATTTATTTCTATGCTTGGTCCATTGAGGAGGTTGTCAGTGCCTAATATGTGTATCGTTTCTTTTAGTCATTTTATTCTATAGTGCTGTTCCCTATTATATTGACTTCTTTCCTTAGGGAGTGATGACAACCCTTTTCTGTCCATACTTGTTTAGCCACACCATATTTCAATCAATCTCCCAGATTACAACATCTTGTTCCTTCACTTTTAATTTTAGTGTAAGTCTCATCCTTGTATTCCTTTATACAACTGTATGAAATGGAATACACTCACTTCTTTCATGTTATCCATCAAGATGAGTATACTCATCCAAATCATCATAAAAACATGAGAGAGCGGTTATTCAGATTGGAGTATGATGAAAAAGAGTTTGGTTTAAAAATATTAATTTAAACACATAAAATACTTATAAATAGGACCTCAAAAGGTTTGAACCCAAATTAAACTAAGTAAGATTCAGCATAACTGACAATTCCTGGCCCAACTCCATAACCCCAAGAAGTTGGCATTACATGACTAATGAGCTTGCCAAAAGTCTACAGGATTTTTAGTTGCACAAGAGTTTGTTTATTTAGAAAACTATCTGTGGTATTTTTGCTTTGATTTCCATGTAATTTTGGAAACTTAAAAATCAAGGCCCAAACAGAAAAGCACTTCCTAGATGGCTATTTGGCTTATTTAACAGGTCCTTGGGGAACTAATTATTCTTGTCTATTTCCTGGATGGAAGTCAATATAAATGGAGTACACATGCACACAAGTGAATGAGTTGGCGAGTTGCAGCCAGAGAAAGACAATTGGGCAACAAAAACTGGCATGCTCTGTTTAAACATCACACATTAGAAAAAGTCCACCATAAAAGTAATAAGGCATTAGTGTTACTAGCATTACCTAACCAACAGATGTCTCTCAGAGTCTCAAGGGTAGAAAAGGAAGGAATGGGATGAAGCAGCCCCATAGGTGTTGTATAATTTTAGATTTCACCTCAAATTGTTAATAATTTTTCAACAGTGTCATTTTCTTAACTTTTGGCATGTTTAGCACTTTTTTAGCTGAATCACCTGATGTTGAGGAAACAGTCAATTGAATTTTTGCTCAGACCAACAAAAAAATCCATGGCTAGCAAGTTTCCAACAGGCAAAACAGCAAACTGAAATGCTAGACAACATCCTGGTAGAGGAAAGGAATCAACAAAGATGATTTCACAAAACGCAAGTTAACTTCACCAAAGTTTAGCCTATTCTGGTATGATATTCAAATCCCAGACAGGTGTGTTGTATTTGAAGATAAGCACAAGTATGGGTTATGTCTGGTGGTTGCTGAGAGTTGGGATATAAACATATAATTTTTCATATAAAATGTTCTTTCTTGGAAATTTTGATATTTCAAAATTAGCTCTTACACTTGATACATTGAAGCTAAAACAAGATAAAAATATAAAGATTTAAATTATTTTAAATAATAAGTGATATTTATAAATATGAAAGATGTTTTTCATACAATTTAAAATGGAAAACATAAGAAATATAACTTCATCTTATTTATGTGGTATATGTGACCATGAACAATTTTCCATTATGCATCTTAATTTATATACATCAATCAATATTTTTGCTTCATTAAGATTAATATTCAAATACCAATTTATAAAATAATTTTATAAAGATTGAATATGTTCATTTTATAAAACCATAAAAAAAAAAAAAAAATAACTTTAAAAATATATATATATATATATATATATATATATATATATATATAAAAAAAAGAAAGAACAGAAAGATATATAATCCGTGTTCTTATAGATATTTTTATTTTTACAAAATAATGCTCAATGTAAATTTACAGAGCATTAATATAAATTAATTGATTTAAAATATGTTTTTTTTTTCGCTACACAGTTCTAACCATGTTTCAAAAAAGGAAAAAAATGCTGTAAGAATTTTAGCTGTTAACAATAAAATTTAAAAAAAATTCAGATGACACGCTTTTAACGGATGTTAGATTTCATTGAAAAATACATCCCTACTCACTACCAAAACGTAGCAATAACTGATACATTAAAATATATACATATTGAACACCCAGACACCCCTACTCTAGCAAAATAGATTTATCTGTAACCTTGGAAACATGAATTTTGTTTTAAGTTACTCCAAAATTCACTTGAGGATGAAATGGAACTAATGTCTTTAATTTAATTACAAAATTAAATTTGGGGCTTTTAGCTTCCATTTTTGAAACATGGTTAGAACTGTGTAGCGAAAAAAAAACAACATTTTAAATCAATTATATATATATATATATATATATATATATATATATATATATATATATATATATATATATATACTTAATTTGTCATGAATCATTGAAAAGGTGATCTCATTTACAAATACACTAATCTTCAATGTCCTGCTGTATTTTAATGATAGGAGTTTTCCTTCTGATAAGCTAGAGAGCAAGATATGTATATAATTGAGCAGAAGAAGAATTTATAAAAATGAATAAAAGTAACTTTGCTAATTTTTGTAAACATTAAATGATAAATGTTTTCAATGAAAACCTTGAAATTTCTTTTCCAATGACTATCATTATTTTTCTGAAAAATGTATTTGAGAAAAAGTTTGATATGAGGTTAAAAAAAATTTTAAACAGATTCAAGAATAAAAATAAATGCAAAAAGCCCATTTTCCTTTTATTTACCAAAATATAGTATACATGAAATTTGAGAAAATAAAATAAATAACTAGTGGGTGAGAAATGAAATTAAAAATACACTTACACTTTTACTTTCTTTCTCCTGTTTAGAATTGTCAGGGTGAATTTTCATATTCTGTTCAGGTGTTGACAGCAATGGTACTGATACATGAGGAGCAGGAACTATAGGAATCTCTTCTTTCTTTTCTTTCTTAATTTCTTTCACAGATTGGAAAGTTGAGGCCAGTTCTGCCAACTTTGAAGTGGGCTTATAAATCTTTGTTTTTTCAGGTTTAGGTTCTACAAGTAAATGAATGTTTATAGAGCAAAAAGAAAAATCTTTTCTTTATAGGGAAAATAAAAAAAACTGTAAATGGCACATACTTTTATATATAAATATACTGTAATTAGTTTGCAGACAAATGTGTATATACATACATTTGAGCATGGCATGAAAGAAGAGAGGAAAGAGAAAAAGTGAGTGATAGTGATACCAATATTTTTACCGATTCCGATACAATTCCTGAAAAAATGAAAAACCTTTTAGTTGATTTCTTTTTGATAAGTAAATGTTACCTACAATACTAATAGATATTTCCTGGCTAAAAGTACCATGATGGAAAATTTATCTTTATTTGAATTCCACCACTGAAAATCATTATCACTTTTTATATTTTTTTAAGGTAATATATTTTACCATTTCAAGTTTTAATAAATATATTTCTTTGCTTGATTCACCAACTGCTTTATCCTGTATTCTCATACACATTGGCTCCCCTTTTGCTTTATTATTTTATGTAATTCAGTGAGGTACTTCGTAAAACTGAAATCAAAGACTTATCACTTTTTCCTTCAGTTATTGTATAGATATCTTAAGTGAACCATTCTGCAATTGTCATTAAGCATGCCACTGTAGTTATTTTCAAGGAAACCAGTCTTGAACCTGGGATCAAGATATATTGCTAGAATAAGGTTTTTGTCTTCCAAGTAGCTGCTAAATTTAGCATTAAAAGAAGCTTTCCATGCTGAAAGGGTTGAATCTAACCTATCATACAGTCCCTTGTATTCTCCCCTTTTAAAAAAAGTGATAAATGACTTTAATGTGTGGTATAATACAAGAGGCAGTTGCTTCTCTATTACTTAATAAATTTGTACAATCAATGAATTAAGTATTTTCAGTAAATTCTCTAAAATCTTTTATTGGTTGAATTGTAAGCAATGTGGTTTTGTATGATCATTGCAATATGAGATAAGAGCACTTTTTTGCTCAAATATTCTGGTCATTATATACTGACTGTTCCATCTTGTCTGAACATCCTGAATAAATTCATGATCTGGTAAATTAAGTTTTTTCTAGTGCTTTGCAAAAGCTGCAGGTGAGTGATTGAAGTGCCCAACTATTTGTTTACAAACAGAGAGCATGTTCTTCACATGGTCAACTGCAAGATATGTAGAAAACAAGATAATGACTCATATTGGGCTTATACAACTGCTGCTGCCATATAATCTCTCATGAGAACATGAATTTTACTATGAGAAATATTAAATTGCTGTACTGTTTCTGTGATACATTCACTTATATTTATTGCAAACTATCTTAATACAAGGTTGGAACAGTTAAGATTGATGAAGCAAGTTCAAGAAACATTTAACACAGCCAAGAAAATTTTAGCCACTAAAGGAGAAGACTTAAGAGCCTTTTTAAATTTATCCCATGATGCATTTTTGTAGCTAATGAACTCACTGCCATTGAAATTATATCACAGGAACTTGAAAACCCAGAGCCTAACTCTGGTAGCTGTGAAGAAGAAGAACCATATCAAGTGATCTTCAGATACGAAAGACAAGGTCAATAGGTTGCCATATACTATGATTCTAGTGTCTACATTGGCCAAGTCACTGACATTAAATCTCCAACAAGTGCAATAATCAAGTTTCTAGCCCAAACTATGGGTAGAAACTTATTTCCAATGGCCTTTGGTAGGTGACATTGCACAGGTTGAGTCATCTTTTGTCTTAAGATGGGACTTAGATGTAATGCCAGTTTCAAGTGATAGTAGAATCTGGAATGTCCCAGAAATATTGGTTATAAAAGCCTATAAAGAAATTCTGACTGCAAATCACCATTAGGTATGAAATTGCCTGTCTGTTCGAATTGCCCAGAAAGTTTTTTTGTCAGTTCCAATAAATGTAGTTTTACTCATTTCAATTTTGTTGTTTTTTTTTTAATTTAAAAACTGAGTTTTAAGGCTTTACAATAAACATTTGTTTGAAAAACTGACCACTGATTCCTTTTGTATAACAAGTTCCAAAGTTTTTATGTTGTCAGTTCTTTTTGGGAACGTCAAAAATTGTATAAATTTACAAAATTTTCAAAAAACTCAAATATATTTGAGAAAAAGTTTTAATATTATAGACCAAATAATTTTTTTTTGAATTCCTCATCTCAAAATGAGTAAAGTTTCAGGCTTGTACTTCCACTAGATACTTTTTTTACAGCAAGCCCCAAAAGTTATATTTTTTACCCTTTTTTGTCCTATCAAATTTTGCTTCTGCCTGTACTTACATGGCGAAATAAGAGTTGTTTTACTGATGTGCTCCTATGAAAAACATTTAGCTTAATCTCTAACACACTATGAAACATATTAAGAAGTTTTAATGACTTAACTGTAGAACTGAAATTTATATGGTCAAAGTTGCATTCCTGTATTATTTTTGCACTGTTTTTAAGACAAAATGTGATGTTCCCCTCCTGTTTAGTCTGATCTTACCTAATAATTATTAATTCCATTAGCATTATCTTTCTTTTATTACTTTATGACATTGCATTTATGATTTTTCACTGGTTTGAAACCTGCATCATCACATATACACTATTAAAATGGACTTCTGGCCCAATCGCACACAAGATGGAAAATCCAACAAAATTTGAATGGTCATAACGCAGTTGCTAATTGAACTAGCAAGATAAATCTGGCACCATTTTTTTATGATTTGTCATGCTCTATATGCTTACATCAAAAGCTTATACATATATATTGAAGAAAAAATACTTTGGAATATCTACCATTAGAAAGGAACTTTCCTATTCACAAATCTTCTTTATTCATTGAACTGATATTCTTAACCTTCTGATTGAGAATTGTGCCACAGGGATTTGTTCTTGAATTAAAGCTGGCATTGATGCTTTTATATCGCCTCATAAATACCAAATAAAATCACAATCTTCTTAGGTTCATAGCTGCTATAACTCACAGAAATCACCTTTTCTGAGTTTACCAGCATGATAATTCCAATTCCAGACACATATTTGCAGCTGCTCAAAATAATTGTAAAATTATAATTTTAATAGTAGGTATCCCAAATTATTTTTTCTTTAATATATATGTAAAATCGATCCATGATAGTATCCCTGCAATAATCCTAAAGAAATGTGCTCTTGAAATGGCTCCCGTTCTCTCTAAACTTTACAATAAATGACTTGCTGATTCTTGCTTTCCTGCTTGTTTGATATCATCTTCTGCAGTTCCAGTTTTAAAAACACAGTTAAACCATCTGATCCTTCTAATTATTGACATATTAGTCTTCTACTTCTTTTTGGCAAAGTACTAGAGGCTCTAATTAACTCTGGATTGGTTAAACATCTCACATCCCATGGTCTTGTTTCAGATAAGCAATATGTCTTTTGGTTCTCTAGGTCATCTGCCGATGTGTTAATTATTATTGAAAGAATCTATCAAGCTAATAAGAATGGTGAAGTTGGGGTGAGGCTTTGGATATCTTTAAGGCCTTTGACAGGGTTTGTCATACTGGCCTTCTTTACATGGTATTTCTGGACAAATTTTTGAACTGATTCAGTTTCTTATCAAATTGCAAAATGAAAGTTGTTTTGAATGGCCACTCTTCTAGATCTTTTTGCATAAATGCAGGTGTTCCCCAGGGCTATATCCTTAAACTTACATTGTTTCTAATCTTCATAAATAACCTTCCTGATGCAATCAGTTCTCAGCTCAGTACCTATGCTGATGACAACTATTTACTCCCATCTTAATAGTAAGTCTGATCAGTTCAAAATGGCAGCTGATCTCAACAATAACCTACAATCTGCTGTAAAATGAGGCAAAGAGCAGCTTGTTACTTTTAACGCTACCAACATGAAACTGCTTTCTCTTAATCATGAGAGAACCCTTTTTGCCTTCCATTGGAATAGGGGATGTTAACCTCCAATTGCGCCTTCTCAGACTAATGTTTTCAGCTGACATGAAGTGGAAAGAGTACATGGAATCAATTGCTAAGTCTGCAGCTAAGAAAGCTGGTTCACTATGTCATACTAGGCAATTTTTCTCAGCAGAATCTATCTTACATATTTATAAGTCTACCATTCATCCTTGTTTGAATACTGCTGCTACATCTGATTTGGTGCTCCTGCCATATATTTAGAGTTCTTGATCAAATCCAAAGAAGAATCTGCAATATTATTGACACTTGCATGGCATCTCAACCTCAGTCCCTTTTTCACTGCCATAACGTAGCTTCCCTGTCCCTTTTCTATACTTTTATGGTAATTATTCTTATGAACAGTCTCCTATGGTACCTAAATTTTATGAATTTAAGCACAGTATTAGATTCACAACATGATCTCAAATTCACAGTTGAATTGGCTAAATGAAACCCTAAGTTCTATACTAACAGTTTCTTTTCTCGCACTTCTCAATTGTGGAACTCTTCTGGCTTCCCAGTTAACTTTGCATTAAAATTTTTGAAGATCAATGTCAAGTGTTACCTTCTGCCTTTTATTCTTTTATTGTCCTCTCTCCTTAATAGTAGTTTCTTTCATTCTCTAACACTCAGTACCGACTTGCATTCTAGTGGCTTTATTGTCATTGTCTTGCTTGGGGTGAAATGTAAAAAAAAAAAAAAAAAAGCATTATGCTTGAAAAAAAATATCTCAAAAAGAAAATGTTAAATATTATTAAAAGCATATTAGATCTGGAAAATTAGAGTATATTTTGGGCAATATATTGTACTACACACATCTTTTCTGAAAATATATTTTGGTTATATGAAATGTCAAGTGCCTTCAGAATGTAGGGATTATGGTTCTCCAGATTTTTTTTTTTTCCTGTGAATTGCCTTTCCTTCTTTGGAAAGCCTAATCTACCCTGCTATTTGACACAAGAGGCAACATTTTTTTTTGTTATACATGGCAGAAACTCAAATTTTACAAATGGCATAATTTCCAAGTATACTTGCTGTTGGTAATCAGTAAAACTAATAAAAAAATAATTTTTCAAAACAAAAATGGAAAATAAATTTAAGAGGCAACATTTTTAGCACACAATAAATTAAAAATTTTGATAAATTGTTAATTAACCAATAGATTATTTTGTTAATTGGCATTAAAAAAAAAAAAAAAAAAAAATCAAAAGTACCATCCTAATATTCTCAACGTATTAAATTTAGTACATTATCAAGATAACATGGTAAATTTTTCAAAGTCGACAACAAAGTTACATGTAAACATTTTGTAAGTTACCATCTTTTTTTTCTGGATTCACAGTTCCACCTTTAACCCAAGTCTTGTTATGTTTTGATGTGTCTTCAAATGAAGCCACAAATTCTTGATAAACCTGAGCTGTAGCTTCTTCATCCTGCTAAAATTAAAAACAAATATAGCATTATTATTTATAAAAATTAAAATTAAGTTAAGAATATTTTACAATTTTCATCACTTCTAATAACACAATTTTGCAAACCGTATACTATCATCAATTACTCCCCAAATAAAATTTCTGACAGCTCAAGCAACCCAAGCAACTTTTGCAGTTTTATGTCGCTGTTTAATTAAGGTTGCAATACAGCTGAAATTATAAAATTATAACAAATACCAATAAATGAAAACAACTTATGCATTTAATTAACTTCTTCCAAGTTCTTTTGTACAAAACCAACTATAAAAAAAAAAAAACAAAAACAAAAGAACATTTTTTCTATTATTCAAATGTCATTTTTATTTACTCTACTTCTAAATCTAATTTTATTTTAAAGTACCAAAATGTTGCAGTGAATTATTTTTAATTGAATTAACTCAGTATTTATTAAAGAAATTAAATCTGAAAGTAAAACTAAAAATAATATTCCACTGACTGTTAATAGTACAAATTTAAATAAATGAATTTTAATATTAACTTGAACTGGATACAATATGATTAAATCTTATACAAATTAATAATACTTACTTTCCGTTTTAATTCTTCTTGTTCTTTCTTTGAGAGGCCTTTTTTGCCAATATTCATTGTCCCAATGTTAAAAGCTTTTAATTTGCTTTCTGATATTGCCTGCAAATTCATTGAAAAAATAATTCAGAAATGACTTCAGCAAGAGTAGTAAATAGCATGCTTAAAAAGAAAATAAATAAAATCCCATCAGCTGGATGAATTGGCATATGTAAACAGACATTTAACACAAAGATCCATGAAAATGTTTTCACTTCAAACTGACTTTCATACATCTATCATTATTTCTGCAAATCCATCAGACAATAACCCTAGAATTCATCATGGTTTTGAAGCTAAAGATTAATTCAGCCTTGAAACTTCTTCATACAAAGTATTCCAGAAAAATTTATATCATTGTATAATCTAATAACTTGACCAGTTCTTGTTCAAATGATTTTAATAGCATGTGTAGAAATAACTCAAAATTCTATGCTTAATGTTTCATTCTTTTTTTTTTTGCTTTTCAGGTATGAGGAATTCACCAAAAGTGAATGTGTTCTGTGACATCTGCAAAATTAACTTTCATGGACAGTTTTTCTTTGAGACTGACTGGTGATATTTATCTGCAAATGTTGCAAAACTGACAAATTGATAAGCTCATTGTAAATGAATATCAACACTTCATTTTTTAACAGGATCGGGCTTCACCTCACGGTGTGAGCTTATTTCAATGAAAATCTGCTACAGGTATGTTAGTGATGAAGACAATGTGCTATGGAGATGGCCATCATGTTCACTTGACAATTTTTTTCTCTGGGGTTATATGAAGGGACTGGTCTATGTCCCCACACTTCCTACAAGAGCCAAACATGCTGCAGTGTGGTTGACAGGAGCTGGACTACCAACTGAATGTGCTGTGTTCAGGCTGTGTACATATTGAAAACTTGTGAAATCATTCAAGAAATCAATTTTGGATGAATAAATATTATTTTGCTCAACAATAAACCTTTTAGTTTCATTTGCCTAGACTATGTAGTTACCTAGATATTTACATCTCAATATCCATTTTTTTTTTTTTTTTTAAAAAAAACAAAAAAAAACACCCCATATATTTTCTCCTTTCCTACAAAGTTTAACCAGGATACAGCAAAGTTGGCAAAAAAAAAAAAAAATGACAAAATATGTTTGATTTATTTGTGAATAAAAGGATTTATCTAAAATTATGTTGAAAGGCAACAAAAATTTATACTAAAATATTACAAAAATTAAATGATATCTAAATAAAAATAATGTATGTTGAAAATAACTGCTACTAGATATCCCCAACGGCTCTAATTTACACTGTGAAAAACAGGTAAAAATAGTGAATTTTCTTTCAATTTCAACTGTTGATATCTTGTTTATTTTGAACACTATTTTGATAAAATTCATATGTAAACAAAATTTAATATTATCTATTTATTAAGATAGAATTCTTTCTCGTGTGATGATTAGTTTTTATTTCACGTCTATAAGTTATAGAAAGTTTTCATTTTTAAAAGTTCATTTTAAACTTTAGGTATAACTTTTTTGTGGCGGTTCCTAATTTATTATGTTTTATTTTTTTCAAGCTGTTTATGTCTGTATTAAAAGTTTTTAGGTATATTGGAAATAAAATTTTAGTTTGGGATAACTACTGTTACTTCAAATGTTTTATAACTTGATTTGTTTTATTGCAAGATTATAAATTCCAGTTTTATGGATACTTGATTGATTTGCTTTCTATGGCTTATCAAACCTTTGCAGGTTAATCAAAGCCAGAAAATATGAGACAAGTAGATGTGATTAGAGAGGTTGATAAAGATATGAAACAGAGAGGCAGATAGACATGTAGAAATTGAGATAGATTAGATAAGGATAATCCAAGTCAATAGATATGAATATTGATTAATTTGCTTATCAACCCTTTGCAGGTTATTTAAAACCAGAAAATATTTTTACATTGCAATAATTTTTTTTTAGCAATAATAATTTAGTGATACAAGTCTTACTCATTAACCCATAGCTAGTGGGTAGAAGAGGTGGAGTCAAACCATTACATGTAAGTGAATACAATGAATTCAACTGGAATTTGAATCCAGCTCTCCAATTTCCAGCTCTTATCCATTACATCACTTGGACATCCAAACCTACCATAGCCAGTTTTCAAATGAAAAACTTATGTTGTCAGCTTTTCATTTTTTTTTTATAACACCACAGAAAACAATTGGCAACTACTATGCAGTTGGATCATGAGACCATTGTTCCAAGGTAGTGGTTAGAAAACTATTCATGCATGCCATTACTACTATAATTCAATTTTCACTGTCCCATATTTGTGGCATTGTTATATTAAGTAAATATAATATAATTATGCCTAATATACCAATAGAAAGGTATAGCAATATTATCTGTAACTACATAAACATACTGAAAATTTAACCCTTAAAAAATGGTGTAATCAAGATTAAGTGCTTGGTTAAGTAAAGAAATTATTGTAATATGAATTGTGGTATTAAATCCCCAAAGGAGACTGACAAAAAGATTTCCATCTCAGATAGGTGCCAGTTGAGTTAATTGAAGACAAATTATAAATTACAGACATATTAACGATAAGGCTAAAAGAATTGCAAAAAGCATTTAATTAAAATAAAATTAATTAGTACCTAGAATTGTTTGGGTTTGCACTTGTGAATTAACAGGGTTTTAACAGGGTATGATCGTATGAAACAAGGAGCACTCACTCCAATTTACCACTGAAAAAATGACAACCAAGCTAAACCAGCTGGCTTTAAACTAGATCAGATATTGGCGAAAATTTGTTTTTCCCCATTCACACTTTTTGCCTTGACTGTATACCATAGAGTGGAGAAAATAAACTAACAGACAGATGTCACCCTCCCATCAATGCATCTAATAAGCCCTTTGCTCATAGAAATACAGGAAAAATATAACAGGAAACCTGGGACATATCAGCATGGAAGGGCCATACATGTATCTCCTGGCAAAAGTATTTCCTTCAAGGACATTTGCATCAGTCCCTCTAACAAGCAAACCACAAAAACTGGTGCCAAAAGGAGGCTAATACCAGAAGTAGACAATTCTGATTCCAGGAAGAGGCTCTTTCAAGTGATGAGACAACATTGGATGTTTGTGAGGAGGAAGGATCAGAGAAAGAATCAGAAGAGGAGGAAAAAAGAAATGTAAGATCAAAAGATCACAATTATAAATCACATGACCCATTAGAGCCACCACATATACTGCAACTGCAGTATAAGTGGTGTTTCTTGTGCAATATAGCCTGACAGAGCCCAACAGTTTTTGTTCAGTTTCCTGGCAAAAGAGCTAATTCATAGTATCATTTTCTAAGAAAAGTACTACCAGTAGAAAAGAGAGAAATTGGATACCCATTAGTGAAGTATTTCAGATGTGACTTCACCAATTCAAGAAGGGAAATTATATTACTTTAAGGAACCAGATATTGAAGACATTATGGAAACTGAAGTTAGTTCTACTGTTAAATATTTGCCTAAGCCCCTCATTATTATAAGCAAACTTTGCTTTAAGACTTCTGAAATGATTAATGTGGTTATGTGCTAAGGAAGAATAAGGAGCATTATTTTTTTTATAATATATTTTCCATTTTCAGTATTTTTTATGTGTTTCCTATGCATGGGTGATACCTTATACCTGATATATTGCACAGATTATATTGGAGGTAATGCATAAAAAATGTGCTTAGAATTGCTTTAATAGGCTTCATATTTTAAGAGCTACAGAGTGCATGTTTGCCTCACCATTACCTGGGGGTAAATACACAAATATTTTTTGCATACCTAAAACATGAATATTTCTATACATTTCAATATGTGCTAAAGATAGCTCCATTAGGAAAGTAAAATAATTTCTCATTTTTTTTCTACAACTTTTTTTTTAAACAAAAAAAAAAAAAAAAAAAAACCCTCAAAAACGGTATGCAATTTCCCCACTACAGTATTAGCTTAGGCATTCAGTCAATCCTGGCTATGTGACAGGAGGCCGAGGTCACCAAAACCTTTCTTGTCTCTAACCCTCATCATCTTGTTACTATACACATATGCAATTTCTAATCTGACACTTGAAAGGAACAGATTCCTTATGCATGACTCCCACCAGCTAGAGTGAGTAACAAAAAAACAAAACAAAGACAAGTTAGTTAACACTAGCACACCAGCCAGAAAAGTGGTTAGAGATGAAGACTGTAAGCAAACTACAATGTAACAGAGTTAACATCACTACTCTGTTCAAGATATTGCTCAAGAATAATTTCATCAATGAGTGAAAGAGGTGAAGATTAGGTTTTGGAGACCAAAGTTTCCTGTTTAAATTATTGTATCAACTCCCAGTGATCAGTCCAAAGCATTGCTGTTGTTACAATATGTTGTGAATATAGCAAGGTAGTTGTACATTTGACATATGTTGAAATCAAATCTATTCATTAAGTTAAAATTACACAATTTATATATGTGTATAGCAGCAAGGTCAGGGGGAAGTGGTTTGGTGATGTCATCCTCTGGTCATATACTGAATTTTTGACATATAAAATCAAAGCAAAATTAAGGTATAAAATAACATTTCATTACTGAATGTAGGACAAGATCCCACTTTGCATAGGTCAGCTGATCTATCTCAATAGTCATATTTCTGGCATTAAATGAGAGCAAGGTCTGAATGAGCCATATATTAACTGATCTTAATAGTTAAAACCCTATCAAGTAAAAAGTACAAACACAGACAATTCCAGGTGCTAATTCAAATTATAATAGGTAATTGCTTTTCATTTCTCTAACATGGGGGGGGGAGCCTTAAGGTACTTCTGCTAGGATAGTAAAATCCAAATTACCTAGCTTGGTTATTTAGACTTTTCACATCAGCAAGAATTCCAATCTATACCAATAACTGTTACAAATTTCTATAGAATGAAACCACTGTATTAAAATTATTCAATCAGCAAACCAAGCATGGGCAGCATTAATTATAAATGACAGAAATTGTCATTATTGGCAAATGATGAAAATTTCTGTCACATATAGATGCTACTAACTAAAAAGGAAAAAAAAAAA